TTCTCATGTTTTTGGGTTTAGGAACTGGGTTTAAGCCTGGAAATGTAGATTAGAAAAGACCCTTGAGATCACTGAAACCAGCCCCTTGCTATCACAGGTAGCCACACCATATAATAGACAAATAAATCTCCTTACTCAAGGCTCTTTCAAGTGTTTATTATTCCAGTAGTTAGTAAATTCCTCCTAATTTCATTGAGTTAAAGAATGAAGATATTTGCTGAAAAAAATTAAAATTCTTGGCCAAAAATATTTCTGATACAAAAAGTTAATGAAAAAGAGTTTGACTTCTATTTTAACTGCATATTGTTTTCAAAATCCTCAGTCAAAATGGTGCTTGAATGATTATTCACTTTCTTTTTAGTCTTTGTAGTTCATCTGATACCATTAGAAGCCATATGACCATAACAAAATGTATTATCTTGTACAATATTGGTATTATTTAATATTCTTTGGAGGAAGGTTTCAGGTTACTATAATAGAAGTAATTGCATTTTGAGAAAGATTGTGTAACCTTATAAAAATGTATCTGTTCAATTTTTGTCATTACTTAGCTGTCTGTATTGGGAGCCTATTAAATTTTATCCTTCATAAATAAAGAACAGACTTGGTAGTTCTTCTGTTTATTAAATTCAGGAGTAAGAATTAGTCCAAATACTATTCAAATATAAGAAATAGTATAATTGAAAATTATCCTGAATATATTGTATTCTTTATAAAACCTAGAAAAAATATTATAAAATAATTAAAATAAAATTGAATTACAGTAAATCAAAGGCTTTAATGAAAAGGTTAATTTATACGAATCCTGTTCTCACAAGGCAATTTAGGTACTTCTTTAATTGAAAGCTTAGTAACAATGCTATTTAAACGTATACTCTAGTGTAAGTCAGTGCTACTGAATTACTAATGACAATTAAGAAAAAAATTATTTTAGAAGTATATAAATCTAAATTTATTTTTATGGTGTACAAACATAACACAAGATTACAGGGAAAGATATTATTTCTTACTAGACGTATTATATATTAAAAAATAAAAATTGGGAGCAAATGTTCCCTTCAGATATGAAGTAGAACCAGAAAATCTCAAGGCAATGCCAAAACAGCTCCTAAGATTTAGAGTAGAACACTAATCCCTCTGTAAAAGAAAAAAGTAGTGGGCGCTCATGGGGTGGAGAAAATGTTAAATGTGAGGTGAGGGATGAAGAGGTGGTTGATTTGGAAGAGAGAGATAGCATATAATTTACAGACCATGGAAGATGAAGAAGTTAAAGAGAGAATGAAGTTATAATGGCATATTTTTAGTCCATGCCTTTTGGTATCCTGTGAAGTTCTGAGTTTTAGTTGCCGGGCACATTTTTTTGTAATTTGTTTTTTGGATTTCCCCTGAGCAGGGAGACCGAGAGCTCAAAATGAAGTGATTTCTTTGTGAGAAATATTCCCCATACTTATGTAACTGACAATTTCCTTTGCCTGTATGAGCATGGTGATTACTGCATCCCAGCCACACCATCAGGAGGAGGGCACGTCTGGTGCCGGTGGCTCTCACCTGCCTGCAGGCACAAGCACTGCTTTCAGTAATTTGGAATCTGTGTGTTGTTTCCAGCTAAGTCCACAAAACCACCTGTCATTTTCTTACTTCCTTTCAATAAATTTACAGTCTGATTTGCTAATTATCGTAATATGGTAGAGTACCATACAACTCTCTAGTGTCTGGTTACTGTTTTTGTGTGCAGTCATAGCCCATATCATTATTAACTCCCAGGCAGGAGTCCAATTCCCTAAACATGTGTTTAGTGCACTCGAGGTGCTGTAGGGTATCCAAGTCGCACATTCAGGTATGAAACAGGACTTCTGCAAGACCAGCACTTCCCAAAGGCCCACAGAGCCTACACTCTAGACACCTATGTCCAGGTTGTTGAATCTTGCCCTCACAGGCTGCAGTCTTTGCTAAATGTTTGCCAATGTTAAAATGTTATTTGAACTGTTCATCATCAAATCATCCTAAATTGCCCTCCTACATGTGGTGAGATGAAATGTTCTCTAGATGCCATTTGACTGCATTCTGGATAAAACCAATTCAAGGACAAGAAAAGAAATCATGAGGTAGTTCAACATCTGTCAACTCTAACCAATGTAAAAGCTAAACATTAGGAAACCACAGCCAACAACTGCTTGTACAGCTGCTTCTTTTCTGAGGCCTCAAGGCCAGCTATAGGTGTATTTGTGAAACATCGCTTGCGAAAAAACATGTTGCGAAAAAAACTCTCTCCCATGGGTAGTGGGAACTGGCTTCTGTGTTGTGTAGGTGGTCAAGTTGCAAAACCCTAAAAGTGCGTTCAGTGACATAGTTCTCCATCATCTGTCACTCAAATGTCTTCTGAGCAAACACAAGCAAGCTTCTCCATGTTTAGTAAAGACAGAAAGCACCTATAGAGGTCAGTTCGTCCTGTTCTAAGATACTGCTTGAATGACTCTCCAAAGAGATCATAGAATCACAGAATGGTTTTGGGTTGTGTTGTGGTTTGAGCCTGGTCAGCAGCCAACCACCCTGCAGCCGATCACCCACCCTCCCCCCCAACCTGGGAATGGGGGAGGGAATTGGATGGATAAAGGGAGACTTGCAGGTTGAGATAGAAACAGTTTAATAATGGTAATAAAATGAGAACAGTGACAGTAATAGAAAATATAAATGGGCAATGCACAATGCAATTGCTCACCACCCGCTGACCAATACCCAGCCCATTCCCAGCTAGAGATCCCAAAATACCAAGATCCCGCAATCACAATCCAGGAAGCGAGAGAGAGCTCCTTCCCAACCACCCCTCCTCTATACCGTGAGCATGATGTTCCATGATATGGAATATTTCATTGGCCAATTTGGGTCTGGTGCTCTGTCCGTGCTCCCTCCCTGCTTCCTGCACACTTGTGCACAGGTAGGACATGGGGAGTTGGAGAGTCCTTGAAGTCTTAGTAGCAGCTGAAAACATCAGTGTGCTATCAGCATTCTTCTCATACCAAACCCAAAGCTAAATCCAAAACACAGCACTCTTCTAGTTCCCAAAAAGGAATATTAACTCTGTTTTAGCCCAAACCAGGACAGGTTGGAAGGGATCCCAAAGATCATCTCATTCCAACCCCCTGCCATGGGCAGGGACACCTTCCCCCAGCCCAGGTTGCTCAAAGCCCCGTCCAGCCTGGCCTTGAACCCTTCCAGGGAGGGGGCAGCCACAGCTTCTCTGATCAACCTGTGCCAGTGTCTCACCACCCTCACAGTAAAGAATTTCTTCCTTATAACTAATCTAAATCTACCCTCTTTCAGTTGAATATGTATTTCTCCCTTTTCTATGGAAAAATACTTAACTAATAAAAGTACAAAGTTAGGTGCAACTCATCTTAACCTAGCTGCTCCCATTGTCTCTATCCTTCCACCGCTACACAGCAGACAGCTGTGGGGATCTGATGGTCAACAACAGTAGGGAAAAAAGATAATCACGTCTCAGTTCATATCAAATCTGCTCATAGTGCTGCCTTGATTTTTAACATAATTAAATTCATTTAAACCAAAACATGTTCTCCAAAAATGTGTTGTAGTGCCATTGGAAAATATGTTTGGTGCAAAAGCCACTGAACAGGTGTTTGTCTTTTGTGACCTATGGCATGTATATAGTCAGATGATAACACCATCGTCATCCCTTGTAGATTTAAAACCTGTGAGACAAGTAAATGCAACCATTTAAAAACACAAGACAGATCTCAAAAAAGTAAGTCTCTACTTCTGGATAAACAGACATGTCATTTCCAGTATCAGTTCAGTCAAGCTCTATCTGAGAAAATTTGTTGTCACAGTTTACACCTCAGTTACAGAACTGAATGACATCCAGGCCTCACAGGTCTCTTACCTTACAATATAATGACATTAAAAGCAAATTAAGGGAAGGGCTTGGAGGTTTTTTTGTTTGTGGTAGCTGAGAAATGCCATTAACACAGAAGTTTAACTAACAAGGCTACATTGTGAAATTTGGGCTAGAAAATTCGTCATTAACGCCTCCAACGGGAGAAAAGTTGGCTACAAGTGACTGCAAAAAAGCCAAAAACAAGGAAGCAAGGATTTCCCAAAAAAAGCCACAGTCCAACATGAGGGTATTTCTTAAAGCTGTTTTGTAAAAATTGGGTATGTGCTGTCAGAACTCCTCTGAGGTGCCGAACACCTTCACCTCCCATTGCTGCCAGTGGAAGAGGAAGGTGTTTGTCCAGCACAGGGTGAAATCCCATAATTTGTCACAGCTTGTGTGAGCTTTGAAACTTCCTTTATTCTGAATTACTTAAGACAGGAAATAATCATATCCCCTGTGGCTAATGTGGTTAAACTGAAGAAACCTTTTGTGATGAAATGGTAGATAGCTAGCTAGCTGGATAGATAGATAAGATAAATGCAGGGAAAGATATATGATTATTCACATCCTTTAGGCTGGAATTGTAGGGTAAAATCTTTTCTGATTATGTATAGCTTGATTCCATCAGTATCCTTTAAAGGAAACACACCCTTTCAAGGAGTTGCAGGGAAGAGGTGGAGAGTGATTTGAGGTTGTTATCCATTTTCCAAAACACCCAGTCTCACTTTATGGATCAATTTAAAAAGAAAACTTTCTGCTTACAGTTATTTCTCCCAAAGTTCTAACTTTTTTGGATGGGATTCATATCTGGTGCATGACTCCCATTTTTTAGGATGAGAATGGTTAAGAGTCTCTGTACATTTGGTGTCCCCATTTCACACAGCTGGGTTGGGACAACTGAAGATGTTTTGTGTTTGTCCACCATTTCATCTGTCATGAAATTGCTCAGATTCACTAAAAATGAGTGTAAAATAACTAAAATTGAGTGCTAGTTGTGAAATGGTAGCCAAGAAGCTTAGGACTATTCAAATACTAACTGACTTCAGATGTCTGTGAAATAAGATGGGTTTGATTAAGTTTTATTGTGTCAGCCAGCACAATGTTATAGGATGTGTGGAGGTAATCAGAGCATGATAAACTCTGAGTCAGTCCACAGCTGACTCTGCAAAGCACTCCTTAACCGTACAAACTGGGACGCAAGAGGGGATGCACATAGAGCAGAAAGCAGACTGCTCTCCTACTAGGACAGACATGAGAGTAAGAATGAAGGATCTTTCACTTTTGCTTTTAATGTGTGCAGCTGTTTCTAACGCTCTTCCTGTCCACCCAGAGAAAAACAACAGAGAAGATGCAAAGCTTGTACAGGTAACTACATTGTCCATATCTAAGATTTATTGAACCCTCTCTTCTTAGACATAATCTGCATGTTCCAGCTACACAGTAGTTTGCTGTCTTTCTGAGATAATACTATTACACAGAACTCTGTTGCCCAAACTTTTGTAAAGTAGGATAAATATGTACTAACTAGAAATATCAAGTAAATAAGTCAGGGACAATGTTGTCTGTTTCTGTTCAGTTACGATCCTCAGGAAAGCATCTGTTGTGCTTCAAAATCACTGGCAGATGGCTTTGCCAGCAAAGTACACAAAGAATATCAGTCCTAAGGTATTTGTTTAAGAAACAGATCAAAATGTGAAATGTGGTTACTTTATTTTTTCACTAGGACTATTTAAATAAATTCTATGCTGTTGAGACAGATCCAAATCAACTTGGATGGAAAATAAATGCTGAATCCACAGCTGAAAAACTTCAGAAAATGCAACAATTTTTTGGTTTGAAAGTGACTGGAAAACCAGATACTGAGACATTGGAAATGATGAAGAAACCCAGGTGTGGAGTTCCTGATGTGGGTCTCTATGGTGTTACTCTGCCAGGGTGGAAAAAAACCAAGCTGACATACAGGTAGAATTTCAATAATTACCTTATGAGTTTAAATTTTGGTTTTGTGATTACCCACAGTTGTTATATATAAATATAACTTCTATTGCAATTGTTTTCAGTTGGGAATACAAAAATGTTTGTCTTTCCCCAACTGTTAGCTATGCATATTCCTGAGAGGAATTTCTGAGGGGTATTTTAGATTTTCTGAGTCAACCACAAAATTCTGCCTGTCATGTATCACTCCTGAAAAATATTCTGTGAGCCAAACAGAAATATCAACTGCACCCTGTACAAGCCCCATTATCTTCAAAATTTGCTAAGACCAACAGTTTAGTAGTCACAGAAACCTGAGGAGACAACTTTCCTCATGCTCAAGAGACAAACTCCTGGCTAAGGGCCATTTTAAGAAAAACTGATATCATGTACACAATTATTATTATTATGAAAAAGACATTTTGGACAGTTATCACATTCATCAAACTCACTCAATCCAAGATGAATCTTGGGAGCTATTGGATTACCAGTTAAATTGCTTCTTATACATCTGTTCATCATTTTAGCAATATTAAATAAATTCTTTCTGCAAACACTAAGTATTATTACTTGAACCCTCATAACCATAGAATTGTGAACCACACACCAGATATGAGCAAAGAGGATGTGGACAAAGCAATCCAGAAGGCATTTAAACTGTGGAGCACTGTTACCCCACTGACTTTCACTCATATTCATGAGGAAATAGCGGATATAATGATTGCTTTTGGGACCAAAGGTAATACATTGACTGTATACCAATGGTAATATGAATTAAAAGATCTTCCAATACTCACAACATAAACTCAATGTTGTCTCAACATCATATTATTTAGCTCATGGACATTGCCCTCGTTATTTTGATGGCCCCCTTGGTGTCCTTGCTCATGCCTTTCCACCTGGCAATGGTTTTGGTGGTGATGTGCACTTTGATGAGGATGAAGATTGGACCACAGGATCTGCCGGTAGGTAAAAAATGTTTCTGAAGTGCTATGCAGATGGGTAATCTTTGTGATTATATTTAAGTGAAGGACTAAACTGAGATGAAACACAGCATCTCAGATGATGTCTCCACCACCTAAAAAACACTACAGCCACCAGTGACAATGAAGAATCTTCACTAATAATATCAAGATAGGTCCAACTATAGGCTGCTATAACTTTACTCTGCATTCAGGCTAGGATGAGCATGAAAGTGTTCTCCAAGTGCTTTCATCTGCCTGGCAGCAGCTGGAAGTCTGAACATGCTGTTCAGGCCACCCATGGGCTGAGATGCAGTGTGTAGAGCTGACATCAGATATGTGCTGACGGGCCAGAAGAGAGGGGAACACTGAGTGCTCAACGATCTGGCTGGGACCCATATGCACGCCTCAGCCCCCTCCCGTCCACCTCCACGCTGGCCATACAGAACATACTGCCTCTGACAGATCCATCAGTAGATGGGCACATTACCCTGCTGGATTTTGGGCCCTTTTTCTCATCCAGTTTTTGGTATGGAAAACTGTGGAGGACAACTGCAGCAGGAGAGTTAAGGTCACTCTGCAAGAAAAGCAAGGAGCTAACAAACAGGAAGGTGCCGTAAGAGCTCTGCATCAGCAGGAGAGGTGTGAGCTTATTGTGGTGGGAAAAAAAAAAAAAGGAGTGAAGGGTAGACATGTCATGCTGATAAAATGTAACATTTTCCCCACACTGGGACTGAATGGGTCAACCCCAGTTTTTCTGCTGTTCCTCAACAGCATAGTTCCAGTGGCCAGGCATTGCAGAACTCGTTGGAGAGCTTGGAGGACTCGTGAGAGGGGAGGACTGGAAATACATGTGGAAAAATTGAGCCTTTGTTTGTTGTTTTGAGCAATGGATATCTTGGCTTCAGCCAGCCTTTCTTAGGCAATCGATGACCAGTCCCCTGCTCTGCCATGGACTTGTGATCTTCATTAAGTCTGTTGATATTGCTGGCTCTTGCTCTACAGGGAAGACAACCATTCTTCCCTAATTCAGAAAGGTGTGTTTCTTGGAGGGATGCATGTTGAAAGAAATTCCATTTTTATCCATTTACCATGTTAACGTATTTCATTGGGAATGATCATGCATAAGCATAATATTTTAAAAATATATTTTATTTGACAAGGTTATGAAGAAATCATAAGCTTTAAAGTCCTAATGATAAAAAGGTAAATCATTCTGCTAATATATTTTTCCTTGTCTTTTCATGATCTCACCTTTCTTTCTCAGGTTTATAGGAGGAAAGGTGACACATAGAGTGACACTTTGGTACCTCAAGTGATCATGGAGTGCCTCATCCTATCCTTGCCCTGAAGAGCTGTTAGTTTGATCTGACTCACTATCATCTAACCTGTTCTAGCTCAGCCAGGAAACCCTGCCAGGACATTCCTCAGAGCTACACCCACACTCACCTCCAGACATCTACTCATACCACACACATCCCTTCAGTAGCTAACAGAAAGAACAGCAGGAAAGAGGGCCAAAAGTCACTCCATTCTAGTGGGGAAAGAACAGAACCTTATCCTATACAAAAAATATATTTATGTATATGCATACTCCAGTGAATTTCAATATACTGTATGAAAACTATCACTGAGCAATAGCTGTGCTGTGTGCATATTAGCCATTTGCAGACCAAAATTAGACCAATCTCTGCTCTCTATCTATATTCGAAGGTTTCAACCTGTTCCTTGTTGCTGCTCATGAGTTTGGCCATGCCCTGGGTCTCTCTCATTCTAATGACCAGAGAGCTTTGATGTTCCCCAATTATGCCTACGTCAGCCCCAGTGAATTTCCCCTCTCTCCAGATGATATAAGCGGCATTCAATCCATTTATGGTAAGTAAAGTCCATGGCTTAAAAGAAGAAATAAGAAGGAGAAAAATTATCTCTTTCACAAAGTTTCACCATAAAAATAATTGCATTCTCATAATATCAAAAATGCATTTATATGTGAAAACCCTAATGTGTCTACAAATTTGGTGTATTATTTCTAAAATACCTCCCTCAGGATCTCCACCAAATGACCCAGATAAAAGGCCAGACACCCCTACCTCACCTAAAACCTGTGGCTCCCAGATGTCTTTTGGTGCTATAACTACACTCCGACGAGAAGTCATTTTTCTAAAGGGCAGGTAAATATTCATATGACATTTGTCTCTGTGAGGCTCATTTTTGCTTGATTTCTACAAAGACCATATAGTTTGGTGGTTCACATGATTATAGGATTTATAATGAGACAAATGGATAGATTTCAGTTCATGGAAATAAAACTTCTAGCAAATATAAGTTATGAATATTTTTACAGGATCCCCTGAAAAAACATGCCTCATTATTTTTTCAGGAAAACATCTCAGTCCTAATTAAGCTTTATTCCCAAATGTATAGATGGTTACACCAAGTAGTGACATGACTAAATGCTGCAAATATTTCCTAAGAAATTAGTATGTTCTAACATATAGTTGGGCCAATCTCTTTTCCAGTCACCTATGCAAGGACAAAGTCATCCAGGTAAGTCATCCAGGGAATAGCTTACAGTCAGGCTCATCTGGGACCCTATAACTCTCTTGCTATATGGTACAGGAACAACCTGAAAATTTCAGCTGCTTGTAGCTGATCTCATTAATTAATCAGTACCAATGAGAAGGGTAATTCCAGAAAGAAGCCAAAATAAAAAAACCCTCACTTCCCACTAAGGGGAGTGTTTTCCTTTCTGACACATGGACCCAGGTATCTTCACTGACAAGAAAGAGCTTGTAAGTCACAACATTATTCAAATTCTTGTGCATATATAGAAATGTATGTCGTCTATTATTTACTACAAAACCTGTTTTATATTTCAGGCACTTATGGCGAGTCTATCCTGATAACTCAGAAGCTGAACGTGAATTAATTTCTACCTTCTGGCCAACTCTGCCACCTGGTATTGAAGCTGTGTATGAGAACACGAAAGATCAGATACTGTTTTTCAAAGGTGAAGTATGAGATTTTCTTTAAATTTTTCTTACTTTTTGTTAGAAGGTGGGAAGGAGGAAGGATAGTTACAAGTGCATAAAATTCACTTTTCAAATAAATAAAAAAAAAATGCAAGGATTTCTTCTTGTTTTCCTACAACTGAAACAAACGACATGAATTTTTATTTCAGCATCTGAAAATCAATAGTGAATTTTTTTTTCTTTTTTTAACAGGCAATAAATTCTGGGTTATCAGCGGCTATCAGGTGTTGCTTGGTTATCCAAAGAATATCAACACACTGGGCTTCCCTAAAGGTGTCAAGAAAATTGATGCAGCTGTTTGTAACAAATACACAGGGAAAACATACTTTTTCATAGGTGACAAGTATTGGAGGTAAAAAAAATTGACAAATGTTTTTTTATAATTGACTCCAATATAATCTGAATACAATTAAACTTGTCCATGTGATAAAAAGAACCATTAGGTAACCATATGTAACTAGGTAATGGCTCCGGCACAGGGAGAAGAACACAGCTTTGACTCCTGAGAGCTTAAGGGTGTCCTGAAATGGGTGTTCAAGATATAGAGCTATTTTGATGCATTATACCTGGAAGCTGAAAAAATTTCAGCATGTAGAGAATTTTTACAAATACAATAGGGGAAAGTATCTCTAGAAAATAAAGATCTGAAAGCTAACCCACTTCAGCAGAAGGCTGGCTGGGATGGCTTGTAGAGGATTTCTATGATTTCTGAAAAGTCCTGGATTATTTTAACTCTTTTAGAGAGATAGAAGCGATAGTTCGTTTTCCTTTCTTTGCCTGGTTGGCACTGGATTTGCAACATGCTTCTAAATCTATCCCCAAGTTGACATGAGTGATTTCTGATACCCAAATACCAGGCAAACAGAAGCAAAAAGCTTTGAGAAGCTGATAGATTCCTCCTGTGTTCAAGAACAGCTGCTGTAAAGTCCTTCTGCAGGCAAACAGGATCATGAGTGGGTCAAACAGACTATCGTGACTAACTGTGGGGTTCTTCAGTGAGACATACAAGGTCAGCTGGATTTTGAGCTGAATGTCATTTCCTGTCATTTGTTTTTGATAGTTTTGGAAAAAGTATTTACAATATCTTGCATTGTTATTTTACTGCCTTGGTCACAAGACAAAGGCATGCAAGAAACCCACATTTTTTTATGTAGTAATTCATTCTCTTGGTTTCATGTCCCTGTGAAAAGTATTTACTGTATCCAAGGAGAAGTAAAACAAAGGCTTGTTTGTTTGGTTTTTTGTTTATTTTCCTGAGAGGGTTCCTCAAATCTTGAGGAACTTTTTAGGTCCTCCTTTCAGCCCCCAAATTCAGCCCCATCTCATAAAAATAGTCCTGGCTCAGTAGGTACAACTTGATTGTATTAGAAATAAGTCAGCTTCCTTTTCTCCATCTACATCTGCCAGCTTGTAGATGACCATGTACAGTATCAGATCAAAGTCTAAGAAGATTTTTAAAATCATGCAATAAATATGTGCAGTCGCTATAGCAGGAATCAACCCAGCTGGTTTCCATGTGCTGCCTGTCACACTGCTGTCATTAAAGGGGGTAAATCTAACCCTGCTAACCTAAAAATGCAAGTCTCCCTTCAGTCTGTTTCGCTCCAGATGCTCCTCTGAAGCTGTGCCTGTCTTCATCAGTAAACAAGCAGCCACCTCATGGAAAACAGGATGGCCAGCGTCCCACAGACATTTGTGCAAGTGGATAACTTTGTAACCCCAGTGAAATCAGTCAAACTACAGATGGTGGACACCTTTCAGCAGCTGCTTAATTCTTTGCAGATTTGATGTCTAAACTCTGTAAAACTACATGTCTTCCTTCATATGATTTAGGTTTGATGAGAACAGCCAGTCCATGGAAAAGGGCTATCCTAGACAGACAGTTGATGACTTTCCAGGAATTAGCCAGAAGGTTGACGCTGTTTTCCAACAGAAAGGTAAATTAAATGAGCTTTTAAGTAAAATCAGTTAACTTGTAAAAAACATAAATTCTGGAGTTATGATGAATTATTGCTATATCCTGCAGAAGATAGAATTGAAGAGATATTCTCCTGTGTGTACAAAGATGAAGTTCCCCACTTTGTCAGAATGAAGCTACTTCTTGTATCCATAACATAAAGCTTTACTTTTTTATTTCCAGGATTATTCTACTTCTTCCATGGATCAAAGCAGTGGGAGTTCGACCCTATTGCTGAAAAAGTTATCCGTGAAATGAAGAGTAACAGCTGGTTTAACTGCTAATGTCATATAACTTTCTTATACACAGCAAATGAGAATTAAAATAATTACAGATTTCTCAAAGGTTGTTCATATATACAATATTATACAGAATAGGCAACAGGACTAGTTTTCATATATGTCTACTATTTTAATAAATTAGCATGTTGGTTCTAATTGTATCTCCAACAGCTAGAACAAAAGTGCATTTTTTCCCCTGATTAAGTGTAATATGTCCAACATAACTTATTATTTTATACTCCAGATAGATTTTCAAATATTTTGGCAATAAACAGTTTTAGGTTGATGTCAACTATTTTCTATTTCATCTGTTGAAGGCATTCTATATTTCTGAGGTGTGAAGGACTGACTTCAGATTAATATGCTAATATCCTTCCAATATACAATGTTCATATTTTGCTTCATTTCTGTTCAAATACCTTAAAAAAACAGGCTTTTCATTAATCACTTGTTTTTCTGTCCTCTCTCCTGCATCTTCTCCTGCTCTTCTTTGACTATTGCAGCCCTGTCCCTTTCACATCACATCAGTATCTTGACACCAAATTCATCCTCCAGCCTCAATGTCTAAATACATTGTCTCACCTTGAGCTGTCTTTATTGTGTAACAATTAGCATTTCATTAATGGCCATTTTTTGTGAATGTATGAATGACATCCTTCACAAATCAGCCCTGCTGTATTCAAGAAATAGATCCGGTTACCATGTCATGGAGCACAACCTTTGCTCTGCTAACACAAAGCACTTGCTTCAGGTGCACATATATCTGAGATTTATCACATGCTGCCATAGTACATGGAGCAAACTCCTCACAAAATCAGGTAAAATCTATTAAGTCACAGCCATATCCTCTCCAAGTATTTCCTTTACATTTAATTCTGGAAATAGGCCCAGAACACAGTGCCAAATGGCTGGCTGTACTGCCTGCATGGCTGGGTATACCTGAGAACATGGTCTCATTAGTATTGTCTTGTCCTCCTGCTCCTTATTTCTCACATATCTGGCTGGTTTACGCACCTGCTGCATGTCTGAGTAAAAACTTTCTTTTTGCTATGTGCTTTTACAGTACCAGATACAACAGTGTCGTGATCCCAATGTGAACCTTACCTACCTGATTTGGTGTAAAGAGCAAGAGTACCATTATGTTGCTGCTATTGCTGTGAGAACCCCACTGGCTTGGTTTCCACCAGGAAATCAAAACAGAGGGTCAGATATGATGTTTCACTGATCTACAAAACTAATCATGGTGAACACTATCACACTCTAGATCCCAAACAAAATTTAAACTTAAAGTGGGGTGACATGGTAGACATTTGGGTGAGATTCATTTGACTTAACTCTAGCTTTCTGTCTATCTGTATATCTACTCTATATGAGTTAGGGAAGATCCCTGTACTGAAAGAAGAGGAAGAAGTTCTCTACATTGCTTATCCCATCCAAAGACAAACCAAGGCAAACCAGTATCTTCAGACCCTGGAGAAAATCTCTCTTTGCAGAGGAAGGCTAGCCAGCTAGCTAAGTTTGGTGAAATTTATAGTGTCTTTGCTAGGTATTTTTCAGTTTTCATGTGATCCAAAATAGAAGGACATCCTACTTTTATCCTCCCTGATGTTCATTTTTGGCATGATACACCAGCAGCTTTTTATATCACCACAAGCCAGTGATAAAGTTGTCTGAAGGCACCTGCTTGGACTGACTGCCTGAGGAGTGACTGTGATATCCCACGAGACAAGAGCAGAACGTGCTGGAGGCAGCTGGGATGGAAACTGTTCCTTACCTATTTCTGTATTTCCAGCCTACTGAAATTTCTCCAGAATTCGATACAATTGAATTAACAGCACAATTGCAGAAGCTGCCAAGGTACACCCAAGTGTTTATACTCAGAGAAGGATTACTCTTTCACACACACTGCTCAGTGTGTAATACAATTGTAATTTTAGTTGGAAGAAAAGTTTAAACATTGAGTCATTAAGGACATTATTCAGTTCTTTGTAAGACATGGGCAAGTTCCTCTGTCTTCACGTAAACAAACATCATACCTACTCTGTGCTTCTTCTTTTCTCAAATGAAACATTGTTTCACAATTTATGCCAATCCCTTGTCTTAAAGAAAATTAATCTTTAACAGTGAAACGCTGTTAATTAAGTTTTCTGACTCACAGCTTTGGCATTCTGTTAAACCAGGTGTGTGTTCACAGGTCATCTGCAAAAATAAATAAAACTTCTTTTCTTTTATCTGTGAAGAAGGCTTGAAAGTCACTCCCAACACAAAAAGACTTGACTTCTGATTAGTGATAGCAGCTTTGTCACTCATTTTTCCCTCTTCACTTGTTTCTTTGAAGGAATAGGAACCAGAATAGGAGTGTGTCAGCAGAAATCCAGTAAATGACCAGTGCTTAGTGGTGGTCCTTTCCCTCCGTCTCTGGCAGGAGCCTGGCTAACATGGGATCATGTCTTGCACCTCACCATATCCTCCCACAGCCCTGGAGAGCTGCCACTGCCACCTCCTCAGCACTCTCTTATGCCACCTATAGCTCCTCATAATGCATGTTCCCATACTACATTTAGGTTACCAGTTGAGTAATGCTGTGCAGTTACCTGTGGGCTGAACAGCCCTTGGCCCCACAGCCCAGCCAAGGGATGAATTATCCACTTTCCCATTAATAGGGTTTCTTCTCCTCTAGCCAGCTGCTATTTTCCACAAAACCTGTAGGAACTACAGTGTCTCAATTTGGCTTGGCTGAAGATGGCTAGTACCTTCAGTTACTGTGGGACCACATGGGCACACAGATACACAAAAACCAGGATCCCATGTGGTCAAGCTAAAATAATTTTCTTGGTGTTTTTACTAAACATCCTCCTTGCTTTTCACTGTACATTTCCATTTGGTTTTGTAATTTCGTATTCCCCCTACCATTGACCAAAGGAGTTTGGAAGGGCAGATAAGGCAAGGCAGAAAAAAACACATAAAAGCAAAGAGAAAATTAATCCACACTTGTTTTTCTAGTTGTTTCATATCACAAAGAAAAAACGGTCATTTATTTCTTGGCCAATTAATGTTCTTTTAACAGCTGTTTTTCAAATAGATCATAAGATCATGCTGATGAGAATGGATTAGGAAATGAGGAAATTATGCATCCTAACGTAATGTATTGCTGAGACATACACATTACAGCATCCCTGGTAGATTGTCCTGAAAAGTCCTTCTCACTTCTCTGCCTGCTAGAACATGGTCTCCCAGCACTGGCATTGGAGTACTTTAGCTACCAGAGTGGGGCAGGACCTGAGTATAATCAAATATTTGCTAGAGCAGAGCTTAAAACCCACCTCTTCCTCTTACACTTTCAGGTGAGAAACCTATCCCCCGTACTTGAGTGACAGACAGATACCCTAAAAGCCTTGAGAAAACTGATATTGAATGCTTCTAAGGGTTTGTTGCCTTAAAGGAAGAAAAAAGACAAGCATGGAAGCTTACATACAGAGGAAGAATTTGTTGTTACCTGGATGTACATAACCGCCCTTCCCTGAACTTGCTCACAACTGCATGCCTCTTGGTGCTAATTGCCCAAATCTTGATATCAGAAAAGGAAGGTGCGAGGCCAGTATTTAAGCATTGATAGCCAACATGCTCTTTGAACAGCTTACGAAGTTTGAACCTTTTTGAACACTGAACCTTCAGACATGCCAGAACTATATCCAAAGCAGAGTACTGAAACCCCACACAGGCATTGTACAAAGTGAGACAGGACATCGGTGAGAAATGAAGATGAGCTGCACAATATAACTGGCTAAACCAGGGCAGAGCACTTCTCTGAGGGCTACAAACACAGGCAGAGACACTTGCAGGGTGAGCACTCTGAACGACAGACATCTCAGTGACATTCCTGAGTGTCCCCTGTACTCATACTTTGTAGAGAGGACCTAAAGGTTTGTGGTGTGGGTTCTGTGGTTCTAGCTGTAAATAAGAATTTATCACGTTCTGCCTGCATTCATTAATGAAATCACCTTGAGGGTTGGGGTTTGTCTGTTGGGATTTTTCCTCATTCATTATGTGCTTCATGTGTTTTTATGATCTGTAAGCGCCGTGTCTTGCTACATGAATGAACAGACATAGATGCATGTTTGCGTGTGGTTATGTGCTCCCATAAAAGTGCCTTGCCCACGAGTACATGTGGGTCTGTGCAGCTTCTGTGGGGATCTGCAGGCCTTTGGAGGGGGGCAAAAGGAGTAGAGGATCTCACCAACTGCATGGAAATGCTTTTTGTGTTTTATGAACAAATGTCGCTTGCAGAACTGCGGGCAATAAAACCTCCAAATAACTGAGCAACATAAGGTTTTAAACCATCAGATAAAAAACCAACATGAGCTCCTAAAGACTAAGTATGGGTCACTCAGGCTTTTGATATATTAAATGACTGTGGGGCATCTGACCTTGGACTGATGAGGGAGATGTTTGCTTTTGGAGCAGTTGCTGAGAACACAGAAGATTAGCACAGGCCGACAAAGGAAACGCTGACTGTTGAAAGAGAATGGAGTTATGACTGACGCTGTGGCACGCAGAATGTGCATCCCACAGTGACAGCCCCCAGGGACCGGCCAGCGCTCCCCACCCCCCGCCATTGGGGTCCCCTCGGCTGGGAGTGGGGGGTCACAGCTGCCACCCAGGGGTCACAGATGCCCTGGCATCTGCTCCAGGTTAGCTCCCAAAAGATCAGATCCTCAAATGCTTAATTTTAATTGTGTGGTTACACAGCTCACAATTTTCTAAATAATAGTTTGCAGAAAGGTATTTTAAGGAGAGAAATATATGCAAAAAGAAGCATTTAGATTTGAAAATAAAAAATGCTGTGTTAAATCAATCAATGGTGTATTTTAAATTAAATAAATTAAGCAATGTGTTCACCATATTGCTGGTGATTCAAAATCACCAAATAGAAAACATACAGAAAAACACTGATAGAATACAAGAAACTATGTCCTGAAGGACTGAGTCCCCTAAATTGTCAACATCTATTATGGGAACTGACAAAAGATGTTTTACCCTCAATTAAGAAGGTTACGCGGGTTAAGATGAAAATCAGTATTTAAAAATTAAGGTGTTTCTGAAAAAAATAG